TCTGCCTGAGCTCTAGCCTTGCTACTCAAAGTGTGGTCCCTTGAAGCAACAGCAGCAGCACCATATGGGTACTTGTAAAAAAGACATAGTTGGGTCCCCAGTTGTGTCTACTGAACCTACTGAACCAAAACCCCTGGGATTGAGGCCCAGGCATTGGTCATCCTTGTTGGTCTCATCTCCTGAAGCTTCCTGTGAATTCTGCTCTCCAATATCCAAGATTCCCAGCTCTGAATCATCCACATAAAAGTATGCATTTTTCAGGATATGGCTCTGATGTCACTCCCTTTGTGGGACTTCATGGCATCTATTTCCCCCTAAAGTAGAATTCATTACCCCCTCTCTCTGTTTATGCCATTTGCAAAGCATTTATCACCTTGTTTAATTTGGTTCTATCTTTGTTCTCTGTTTGGTTCTATGAATATTTATTGAGCACTATCAGATACTGTGGAAAAGTCTAAGATACAGAGGAAAGAAGAAATCATTTCTTGTCAAAGGAGCTTGCAGTCTATTGTGGCTAATTATGCATACAACTATTCTTTCTTGCTTTTCTTTGAATAATTTGGATGTTGAATACAAATGTTCCAGTCTTCACTTTAGCATTGATTTTTTTTCAAGTGGTGGATAGCGAAATCATAAAGAAATGAGACAACAATAATTGAATAACTTTGGGCTAACCGTTCATATTCACTGGGCACACATGTTGGTTGATATGGTTTGGCTCTGTGTCCTCACCCAAATCTCATCTTGAATTGTACTTCCATAAGTTCCACATGTTGTGGGAGGGACCTAGTAGGAGATAATTTGAATAATGGGGGCAGTTTCCCCCAAACGTTTTTCATGGTAGAGAATAAGTCTCATGAGATCTGATGGTTTTATCAGGGGTATCCGAAAATGAGAGGCCTCATTTTCTCTTACTGCCATCATGTAAGAAGTGCCTTTTGCCTCCCACCATGATTCTGAGGCCTCCCCAGCCATGTGGAACTGTAAGTCGAATTAAACCTCTTTTTCTTCCCAGTCTTGGGTACATCTTTATCAGCAGCATGAAAACTGACTAATACAGTAAATTGGTACCAGTAGAGTGGGGCATTGCTGAAAAGACACCTGAAAACTTGGACGTGACTTTGAAACTGGGTAACAGGCAGCAGTTGGAACAGTTTGGAGGGTTCAGAAGAAAACAGGAAAATGTGGGAAAATTTGGAACTTCCTAGAGACTTGTTGAACAGCTTTGACCAGAACACTGAAAGGGATATAGACAGTAAGGTCCAGGCTGAGGTGGTCTCAGATGGAGATGAGAAACTTGTCGGAAACTACAGCAAAGGTGATGCTTGTTATGTTTTAGCAAAAAGACTGGTAGCATTTTGCCCCTGCCCTAGGGATTTCTGGAACTTTGAACTTGAGAGAGATGATTTAGGGTATCTGGCAAATAAGTTTCTAAGCAGCAAAGCATTCAAGAGGTGACTTGGGTGCTGTTAAAGACATTCAGTTTTATAAGGGAAGTAGAGCATAAAAGTTTGGAAAATTTGCAGCCTGACAATGTGATAGAAAAGAAAAACCCATTTTCTGAGGAGAAATTCAAGCTGGCTGCAGATATTTGCATAAGTAACAAGGAGCCAAATGTTAATCCCCAAGACAATGGGGAAAATGTGTCCAAGGCATGTCAGAGGTCTTCATGACAGCCCCTCCCATCACAGGCCCAGAGATCTAGGAGGAAAAAATGGTTTCATGGGCAAGGCCCAGGGCCCCCATGCTGTGAGCAGTCTAGGGACTTGGTGCCCTGTGTCCTAGACACTCTCACTGTGACTGAAAGGGGCCAAAGTACAGCTCGGGCCATGACTTCAGAGGGTGCAAACCCCAAGCCTTGACAACTTCCATGAGGTGTTGAGCCTGCAGGTACACAAAAGTCAAGAACTGAGGTTTGGGAACCTCTGCCTAGATTTCAGAGGCTGTATGGAAATGCCTGGATGTCCAGACAAAAGTTTGCTTCAGGGGCAGGGCTCTCATGGAGAACCTTTCCTAAGGCAGTGCGGAAGGGAAATGTGGGGTCAGAGCCTCCACACAGAGTCCCTACCGGGGCACCAGCCTGTGAAAGCAGCCAGGAGGCTGTACCCTGAAAAGTCACAGGGGTGGAGCTGCCAAAGAACCCCTGCATTGGTGTGACTCAGATGCGAGACATAGAGTCAATGGAGGTCATTTCGGAGCTTTAATATTTGAGTGCCCTGCTGGATTTCAGACTTGCATGGGACCTGTAGCCCCTGGCTTTGACCAATTTCTCCCATTTGGAACAGTTGTATTTATCCAATGTAACTTGCTTTTGATTTTACAGGCTCATAGGCAGAAGGCACTTGCCTTATCTTAGATGAAATTTTGGACTGTGGATTTTGGACTGTGTTAATGCTGAAATGAGTTAAGACTTTGAGGGACTGCTGGGAAGGCATGGTTGGTTTTGAAATGTGAGGAAATGAGATTTGGATGGGCCAGGGATGTAGTGTTATGGTTTGGCTCAGTGTCCCCACCAATATCTCATCTTGAATTGTACTCCCATGATGCCCAAATGTTGTGGGAGGGATGCAGTGGAAGATAATTTGAATTATGGGGGTGGTTTCCCCCATACTGTTCTCCTGGTAGTGAATAAGTCTCATGAGATCTGAAGGTTTTATCAGGGTTGTCTGCTTTTGCATGGGGTTTCTCATTTTCTCTTCCTGCCACCATGTAAGGAGTGCTTTTTGTCTCCTGCCATGATTCTGAGGCCTCCCCAGCCATGTGGAACTGTAAGTCGAATTAAATCTCTTTTCTTCCCAGTCTTGGGTATGTCTTTATCAGCAGCATGAAAACAGAATAACACATTGGTACTCTCCAAAATCCATTTCAAATTCCCTCTTCCTGGCAGCCTCTAGTTTCTGTCTGTGTATCCTCCAGTTCAAGAGAAGCTCTAGAGGTAGAGCATGTATCCTAAACAGACAGAATATCAAGACTTCTGTTGGCTGCTGGTGGCAGTGATAGATGCAGGAGAAGCATAGTGCCAAGAGAGCCCCTAGCACCTATTTGGAAATGACAAGGAGAAAGCCTGTGGAAAATGGAAGCCTAGAAGTCAAATCTGAGAAATCAAAATAGAGAAGTTGTTTGTTCATATTATTTTTGAACCAAACCTCATCTGATTTTTTTCCCATCACATTAGTTATAAATTCCTATCATTGATGAAACTATTGTGGTTTGGGTGTTCTATTACTGATAATCATAAGCATCCTAATTGTTATAATATTCTACTTGAATACTTGAATCCAAAGAACAATAACTGATTTGCTATCTGAGAAATGAACCTTTGCTCTCACTATAGGCTGATTAATTCACAAATAAAGTTAAGTATAGTTCTTTCTCTTGGTCTTACCTGAGAAACTACAGATTCCTAGAACTGCATGATGACATTAAACTTTCTTTAACGCCATTCTACAATAGCTACAGATTCGCACATCTCTTGCCTTTTTTTTGTTTGTTTTGTGTTTTTTGAGACAGAGTCTCACTGTATCACCCAGGCTGGAGTTCAGTGGCTCGATCTCAGCTCACTGCAACCTCTGTCACCTGGGTTCAAGCGATTCTCCTGCCTCAGCCTCCAGAGTAGCTGGGATTACAGGCTCCTGCCACCACGCCCGGCTAATTCTTCTTTATATTTTTTATTTTTTTGAGACAGAGTCTTACTCTGTTGCCCAGGCTGGAGTGCAGTGGCGCAATCTTGGCTCAGTGCAACTTCTGCCTCCTGAGTTCAAGTGATTCTCCTGCTTCAGCCTCCTGACTAGCTGGAATAACAGGCACGCACCACCATGCCCAGCTAGTTTTTGTATTTTTAGTAGAGACAGGGTTTCACCATGTTGGTCATGTTGGTTGAACTCCTGACCTCGTAATCTGCCTGCCTCAGCCTCCCAAAGTGCTGGGATTACAGGCATGAGCTACTGCACTCAGCCTAATTTTTGTATTTTTAATAGAGACAGGGTTTCACCATCTTGGCCAGGCTGGTCTTGAACTCCTGACCTGATCCACCCGCCTCAGCCTCCCAAAGTGCTGGGATTACAGCCATGAGCCATTACTCTGCCTGGCCCATTTGTTGCTTTTCATTACTGTATCTGTATGGTTAATTTTTTAATTTTTAATTTTTATTTATTTATGTCTTTATTTTTAAGACAGGGTCTCACTCTGTCACTCAGGCTGGAGTGCAGTGGCATGATTTTGGCTCACTGTAGCCTCAATTTCCCTGGCTCAGGTGATTCTCCCACCTCAGCCTCCTGAGTAGCTAGGACTACAGGTGCCTCCTCCATGCCCTGCTAATTTTTGTATTTTTTGTATAGACAGAGTTTCACCATGTTGTTCAGACTGGCCTCAAGTGATTCACCCACCTCAGCCTCCCAAAATATTGAGCTTACAGGCACGAGCCACCATGCTTGGCCTGTGATGGTTAATTTTATATGTCAATATGACTGGGTCATGGGGCACCCAAGTATTTTATTAAACCTTATTTCTGGGTGTGTCTGTAAGGATGATTTCAGATGAGATTAGCATTTTAATGGGTTGACTAAATAAAGCAGATTGCCCCTGCAATATGGGTGGGCCTCATCCAATTATCTGAGGGCCTGAAAAGAACAAAAAGGTGGAGGAAGAGAGAATTTACTCTCTCTGCCTGATTTTGTGAGCTGGAACATTGGTCTCTCCTGTCCTCAGACTGTAACTTATGCCATCGGCTCTCCAGTTCTCAGGCTTTCAGACTTGAATTGAAATTATGCCACTGGTTTTCCTTGGCATCTAGCTTGCAGATGACAGATGGGACTTCTTAGCCTCCATAATTTCATGAGCCAATTTCTCATTATACAAATATAATAAGTAGATGAGTGCTTTCACTTAAAAATGGACATGTATAAATGTATGAGACAGGAAATCCTAAGCACATATGCTGTTCACACACAAAGAAACATGCCTGGTTGCGTGGACCATGACATATACAATGTACTTTTTACCTCGAGTTGTTTTTTCTTTGCTGCTACATGCAAAAGCCGTAGTAGATGGTACTGTTCTGGCTGTTCCAGCTGAGACATCAAGGCCAGGAGTTCTGTCAGGTATCTATTAATTGGCTGAGGCTGCTTTTCATACACAGCAGGTAACACTCTCAACAACATGGTGTTACCTGTTAAGGGAACAATAAAGGAAATGATGACTTTATCAAGCCATGAGCAACAGAAATAACATTATTACCAATGTAATAATATTGGCACTTACATATTAAATAGCACAGACTGATGGCCAATTCTTTTACTAAAAATAACGTGGTACCTTATTCTGAGATTAAAATGTGATTTACTCTGATTCCACAAAAGGAAATATTTTATGATATAATCAGCACCATTAACTAATGAAAAATTTTCCTGAGTAATGCACCATGGGGATAGAGGAACTCTGACAGTAATCAGACCACACCCTTTTGAAGGAAACAGTTCCAGTAAAGAATTACTGATGATAAACAAAATTTGGATGATGTTTAAATGAAAGCTAAGCAGTGCTATAATCATGGACCTAAATGAAACTGAACAACAGAAAAAGTGCAGAGGAATTAATTCACATTCCTGGAAGATACAGAATCATAATTTAGTCAACTCACATACAGAAACTATGCTTATTTTATGAATAGTTTAAGAAGTAGTAATGCAAATTTAAATCCACAATTCCTGCACTATTTCAAGGGAAGTTTAGCCTCAGCTGGTTTGTCACACATAATTTCCTCAAAGATATGTATGGACAACTAGATTTATGATGCCAAACCTCAAGAAATATATTACATAAGGTATAGAAACTTATCTGCAATCAACATATGTGCAACATCTGCTTATCACTTTATGGTATGGATTTTTTTTCTCAAAATCCTCACAAGTACTTAAATGTCTCAGGGGAATTGTTTCTAGGGATTTCTTGAACAATAATTTTCTTGACTCTATTTACTTTTACTTTAAATTTGGCTTTGTATATAGAAGCCATATACAGAAAGAATCAAATAAGCATGAATTACACATACATGGACCTTCATTAAATAGTAGGAACATGCCTATATATAAAAGACAATTATTAAAGAAAGAAGGCCAGAATTTTCAGAATATCAATATGTAAATTTAATGAAAGTGTGATTCTGGATAAAAATGAATTTGGGAGACAATAAAAAATGAGAATTTTTTTCCCCACATGTAGTTCATAGAATAAGTCTAAAACAGGTTTTATCATGTTCTCCAGAATACAAATTATTGAAAATATTTACAGTTTTCTTTAAAATGTTGTGTTCACCAGTATTTATTTTCAATAATTTAATTTTCAACAATTTGCTTTGTTTTTTGTTTATTTTACTGTGAGTGTCTCCTTAAAAGATCAGGAATTTTTTTAATGCAATACCCAATTTGTACAGCCCACATTAGATCATAGAACTTAGTTATGAGGACATACTGATCAACTGCTAAAAATGGTCACGTTAAAAGGGACTGTAGTTGCCATCTAAGACAGGAAACTATGGTGTGGCATTTTGTTACAAAACTCACTACAGGCCCTGGGAGCCTTGAAGGGAAAAACCCTAGATTAGTCATTTTCAGCTGACTTGAATTTCAATCAAATAATACAAAAATAAATGCAGAACTTTTGCAGAAATCTTATAAATTCCATTAGTAAATAATACCTTCTTTTAAATTATGAAATAGTTCAAGTCATCAAACAATAGTAGGCAATAATATAAGGAGCACTGGTGTGCCTACCAACCAGATTTGTCAAAACTTAACCTCATATCATAATTGCTTTTCATCCCATTTGTTTCCTTTTCTCCCCAGAGGCAACCATCATCCTAAAGGTAGTATTTATGATCTCCATAAGTATTTTTACACTTTAATTACATGCGTATGTATCAATAAACATTTTATAGTATGGTTTTTGATGTTTTAAAATTTTATATGAATACCATCATACTCTACATATCCCTTTGCAACTTATTTTTCTTCTATTCAACATTTTGTAGAAGTTGTACCTCCAAGAAGCTCTCCTTCATTTATTCTAACAGCCATGTGTTATTCCAATGTATAAATATGCAACAACTTATTTATATACACTCTGTGATTGAAAGACATTATGTGGTTATTATTATTCGTTGCTATAATCAATAATGCTGAAATAACTGTCTCTGTGCAAAAATGAGAGATACTTCATAGGGTAGTGTTTCTGAGTCTAATGTGCTTAGAAGTCACTGGGCATATCTTTAAAACACAGATGTTGATTCAATAGGTTGGAGGTAGGGTTTGAGAGTCTGAATTTCTAACCAGCTCTCAGGTGACACTGATGGTCCCTGGACCACATAGTTAAGTGGCAAAGCACTGGGTATGTCCCTAGGAGTTGACTTTGTAGATGTTCCAAAGTTTCTTTGTGAAGCAGTTGTATTCATTTTCTATAGCTGTCATTAGAAATTATCTCAAAATTAGTGGCCTAAAATAACACAAATTTATTATCTTATATTTCGGTAGTTCAGAAGTCTGACGTAAGCCTCACTAACATAAAATCAAATGTGTGCCCAGGGTTGGGTTCCTTCCTGGAGGCTCTAGGAGAGAATTTGTTTCCTTGGCTTAACCAGTGATATACTTTGGCTCCGTGTCCCCACCTAAATCTCATCTTGAATTGTAATCCTCACGTGTCGAGGGAGGGTCCTGGTGGGAGGAGGTTGTATCATTAGGATGATTTTATCCATGCTGTTTTCGTGATAGTGAGGGAGTTCTCATGAGATCTAATGGTTTAAAAGTGGCAGTTTCCCCTTTACTCTCCCTCTCTCCTGCTGCCATGTAAGATGTGCCTTGTTTCGCCTTTGCTTTCTGACAGGATCGTAAGTTTCCTGACGCCTCCTCAGCCACGTGGAACTGTGAGTCAACTGTGAGTCGTGCCCTACAAAGGACACGAAGTCATCCTTTTTTATGGCTGCATAGTATTCCATGGTGTATATGTGCCACATTTTCTTAATCCAATCTGTCACAGATGGACATTTGGGTTGATTCCAAGTCTTTGCTATTGTGAATAGTGCTGCAATAAACATATGTGTTCATGTGTCTTTATAGCAGCATGATTTATAATCCTTTGGGTATATACCCAGTAATGGGATGGCTGGGTCAAATGGTATTTCTAGTTCTATATCCTTGAGGAATCGTCACACTGTCTTCCACAATGGTTCAACTAGTTTACAATCCCACCAACAGTGTAAAAGTGTTCCTATTTCTCCACATCCTCTCCAGCACCTGTCATTTCCTGATTTTTTTAATGATTGCCATTCTAACTGGTGTGAACAAAGCTGGAGGCATCATGCTACCTGACTTCAAGCTATATTACAAGGCTACGGTAACCAAAACAGCATGGTACTGGTACCAAAACAGAGATATAGACCAATGGAACAGAACAGAGTCCTCAGAAATAATACCACACATCTACAGCCATCTGATCTTTGACAAACCTGACAAAAACAAGAAATGGGGAAAGGATTCCTTATTTAATAAATGGTGCTGGGAAAATTGGCTAGCCATAAGTAGAAAGCTAAAACTGGATCCTTGCCTTACTCCTTATAGGAAAACTAAATCAAGATGGATTAGAGACTTAAATGTGAGACCTAAAACCATAAAAACCCTAGAAGAAAACCTAGGGAATACCATTCAGGACATAGGCATGGGAAAGGACTTCATGTCTAAAACACCAAAAGTAACAGCAACAAAAGCCAAAATTGACAAATGGGATCTAATTAAACTAAAGAGCTTCTGTGCAGCAAAAGAAACTACCATCAGAGTGAACATGCAACCTACAGAATGGAAGAAAATTTTTCCAGAACCTACAAAGAAATCAAACAAATTTACAAGAAAAAAACAAACAATCCCATCAAAAAGTGGGCAAAGGATATGAACAGACACTTCTCAAAAGAAGACATTCATACAGCCAATAGACACATGAAAAAATGCTCATCATCCCTCACCATCAGAGAAATGCAAATCAAAACCACAATGAGATACCATCTCACACCAGTTAAATAAGGTGTTATAATTAGCTGTGTCTTATATTAAATTGTTGCTTAGGTATCCCATAGCTGTTGTTGCTACTGTAAATGAAAACTTTATTTTCATAGGCGTTTTCTATTTATGTGCTAGTATTAATAAAGCAATAGATTTTTGTATGTTGATCTTATATCCAACAAAAGTTGCTCAGTTCTTATTAGTAATGTCTTTTGAGTCTCTTAGATTTTTCTGTATGTGGATGATCCACTCATGATAAATGATAACAACTTTATTTCTTTCCATCCTAATCCTTATGTTTCTTCTCCTTATATCCTTATGTCCTACTTTACGGGCAGGGACATCCAATACACGCTTCGATGAATAGAGTCACTGTCCACGGGTATCCTTGTGTTAATCCTGTTTTCAAAAGTATGTTACCATGGATTTACAATTACATATGTATCTGTTTCTATAGGTTTTGGTATTTATGTTTTTTCAGTTTAAGTAAGTTCCTGTCTGCTTTCTAGTTTGATTATTTTGAGTGTTGAATTTTATCAAACATTTTTCTCATCTGTTGATATGATTATGCTTCTCCTATAAACTGTTAATGTAATACATTAACAGCTATTCTAACATTTAATCAATCTTGCAGTCTTAGAATAAACTCAACTTGCTAATGATATATTTTTATGCATATTGCTGTGCATAATGTGTATTTTTATGCATATTGCTGTGTCTGTTTGGCTAATTTTTTTTTTTTTTTTTTGAGACGGAGTCTCCCTCTGTCGCCCAGGCTGGAGTGCAGTGGCCGGATCTCAGCTCACTGCAAGCTCCGCCTCCCGGGTTTAACGCCATTCTCCTGCCTCAGCCTCCCGAGTAGCTGGGACCACAGGCGCCCGCCACTTCGCCAGGCTAGTTTTTTGTATTTTTTAGTAGAGACGGGGTTTCACCGTGTTAGCCAGGATGGTCTCGATCTCCTGACCTCGTGATCCGCCCGTCTCGGCCTCCCAAAGTGCTGGGATTACAGGCTTGAGCCACCGCGCCCGGCCTGCATCTACATTCTTAATGAGACAGGTTGCAGTTTTCCCTTCTTGTATTGTCCTTGTCTCTTTTTGGTATCATACTTAGTAGACATGTAAAA